TTTCCCACCAATTCAAGTTAATGCCTTTTTCTTTCAGTTTCTCTTGCTGCAATAATTTATTTTGGTTATCTAACAATTCTTCATATCTCCACATCCAGGGCTCTTTTTGTAGCAGGAGCTCCTTTGCATATTAGGCCACACACACACCATAAAAGTCCAGTTAAGATTGTCAAAGGCCTTTTCTGCATCAAGAAATAATAATGCCGCTTGTTTTTCAGGGTGGGCTTCAAAGTATTCTAATACATTCAGAATACTTCTCACATTGTTTCTCATTTGCCTTTTAGGTAAAAATCTTGATTGATCTTGATGAATTGTTTTAATCAAGGCTTTTTTCAATCTATTTGCTAATATGGATGCATAAATTTTATAATCAACATTTAACAGTGAGATTGTCCTATAGTTTTGATTTCTTTTTCATCTGTATCTGGCTTATGTATTAACGTAATCAATGCTTGATTCCAGGACTCTTGTAATTTTTCTTTTCCAGATATATTTTGTATAGTATCTTTCAAAGGCAATGCAATTTGATCTTCAAATATCTGATAAAATTCTGCAGGTAATCCAGCTGGGTCTGGAGTTTTCTTTTTCTTCTGGTTTTTAATTGCCTCAGTTATTTCGAAAAAGGATATTGCATCATTTAAAATTTTCCTTTGATCTTCTGTAAATCAAGCTCTTCCTTATTGCCCATATTACGGGCATTGGTATATAGGCACTTGTAGCCTTGTACATTTGTTTGACCTGTCCTACCCCGGTGGGCCCCCACTGTTTTCTCTTCTTCATTGAAGTCCCCATGTTGATTTTCCCCTTCAGTTTAAAGCTCTCCTGATTAAGCTCCCCAGGTTCTTTCCAAACGTTTTCTTCCCTGACCCTGAGAGGTGAAGCCCATCATGTGCTAGAAGGCCTTCTCTAAGAAAACTTATCCCCTGGTCCCAGAACCCAAAGCACTCCAGCCGGCACCACCATCTCAGCCAACAATTCACCTCAAGTATGGTGTGTTCTCTTCGGACTCCTCTTCCTTTGACTGGAAGGATAGAAGAGAATATTACCTGTGCCCCCAATGCCTTCAACTGCCTTCCAAGAGCTTCACAGTCCTCTTTAATTTTTGTGATGGTATTTGCGGCCATGTCATTCATCCCCACGTGAACCAGCACAAACGGGTACTGATCAGTAGGTCTTCTCAGTTTTGGCAGTCGGTCTGTAATATCCTGAATTCTGGCCCCAGGGTAAGCAACACATCTCTCGGAGTAGGGGATCTGGCCTTGACACATGAGCAGAGTCCCTGATGACCACCACTTTCCGTTTCCTTCCACTTCCGTGAGATGTAGAGCCTATTTTCTCCATATTTGATCCTGGCTTGTAGCATTTAGCTAGAGGGTTTGCCCTGTAGAGCCCAAGGTGTTGTAAATGGGAGGGGCTGTGGCTCGGAGGCAGAGCATCCACTTGGCATGCAGAAGGTTCCCGATTCAATGCCTGGCATCTCCCATTGAAAGGTTCGGGTTGATATGTGATGTGAAAGACCTCTACCTGAGTCCCTGGAGAGTTGCTGTAAGTCTGGGTAGCAAATAGTTGCTTTGATGGAGCAGTGGTTTGATTCAGAATAAGGCAGCTTCATGTGTTCAGATGCTTAATTCCATAAGTGGTGATGGTCCAGCTGCCTTGAAGGAGGTTGTTTGGTGTTACCCCTCCTTAGACCAACTATGGGCCAACAAATAACCCCTTTTTGAACATGGGCAGCAGCAGCAGGCTAGCTCCAAATGTTAGATGAGACACTCATTTCAGTCTGACTTCAGAATTGGTTTTAGAGACTGCTTTAGTTGTCCTGGCAGAGGATCTTTGCTAGGAGAGAGAGAGCGAGCGAGCACTGATTCTCCTGGACCTCTGTGGAGCTTTTGATACATGTGGCATCTTTCCAGTTAAAGCAGGGATTGGGGGACTTTATGTTACAGCAGTTCTGTTCCTGTGTTGCTGACTGACTCCAGAAGGTGGTGCTGGGAGGCTGCTGTATGACCACAATGGCATATATGGTATGGCAACCCACCGATTACCAGCTTGATCCATATGCTGTGTAACAGGCCTGTTTCTAAAAGCAAAGCCATTATAATGTCCAGTAATGAATACTCCCGAGCCCTTGAAATGGCTGACCTTGCCTAAGGCAACACTAGAGCATGGGTATGTTATACACAAAAAGCCAGAGGACTGTTCTTGCTGTCCTCTAGGGTTCACAATGCAAATATACTGAAAAGGTGGCCAAACTTATAAGAGCAGCCATTCCTGTGTGCATTGACTGGGTTTCGCCTGTGCATGTGATCCCACCTTCTGGTGTGTTTGTGTCTTCAGTACAGATGAGACCAAAGTGTTCCCTCCTTTTGGCTAACGGGCGGCATCAAGAATAATGGAGAAAATACAGCAAAGCCTAAATGCAGTGGGATATGTGTGTCTGTCTCTTGGCTTTCAAAAATAAAATACTTGGATATCTGTGCAAGTTTGCCTGCTACTGTTTCATCTCCTTACTGACACTCTGGAGCCAGAAGTTGCCATGGTGACATTGTTTTTCTGGTTGCACCAGAGTGTGGGCTTTGCATTATAGGTGGCTGTGGAAATGCCATTTGAGCCCTAATAGCTTCCCTCTAAGCTGTAGAGTCTTGGGAGCAAGGTTCTACTTTGTGAGCTACTGACAGTAAAGTTGTGAGCGAGTGATTTAGCTCCTGCATAAACTAGTTTGCTCCAGAGCCATCCTTTGTGAGCTAAGACAAAAATATGTGAGCCGGAGGCTAAAAAACTGTGAGCTAGCTCACCCTAACTCAGCTTAGAGGGAACCCTGGGGCCCCAGACTAGCCCGATGTGCTGAGCTCAAAAGCTAAGCAGGGTTGGTACTTGGATGGGAGACCGCCAAGGAAGACCAAGGCTGCTATGCACAGGAAGACTTTGGCAAAACACCTCTGCTCCTCTCTTGCCTTGAAATCCCCATGAGGTGGAACTCCATAGGGTGGTCATGAGTCGGTTGCGACTCAGCAGCACACTTTACATTTGCCCTGACCTGGTTAGCCCACCCGGCCCGATCTCATCAAACCATATTGGCCAGGTTTGCAAAATGGCACTGGTAGATTTGCTTTGTGGTAATGGAGCCCAGTTAAGTTCTCATTGTGGATGAGAAGGGCTGGAAGCATATTTCAGGTCCGGAGAGCCCATGCGATCCCTTAAGCCTGGGGCTTGCTGAAGGCTATTAAACACACCCCCAGTGCCTGTTTGGCAGCATAAGCATTTTTATTTTTATTTTTTTGCTTGGGTGGGACCTTCACAGCCTTGTTCTCCCTCATACGCCTTCTGACTACCTTTGCTCAGCTCAAGCATATTTTCCAGTCTTCCTCCCCATCCCCCTCTTTTCTCCTATACCTGGTTTTATACTTGGTCATGCTGCCTAGTGTCCTTGAAAAGCTAGGCCCCTCTCCCCTTTCCTTCAAGCTTCATGCATTTAAACAAAACCTTGTGCTATTCTATTTTTCTCCCTTCTCGGTTGCAGTGACTCTTTCCTGCCTGGAGGCTCAATCTCAGAAATAGCTAAAAGGAAATTGAGTTCCTAGGTGTAAAGGACTTCTGGCTATAGCTTCGTCAGTTAAAATAATTTCATAGTAACACATGAACTCCATTGACCAGGCTAACTGAACAAGACCATGGCTCATTGAACTTCCTGTGTTTCAGAATGTGGCTGATGCAAACATTTACTGCTAACTGGTATCGGGGTGAGTGGGCGGGCTAGGCAAGAGTGAACGTAGGAGACAGAAGCATCTCTGTCCTTACTAGTACTTGAGGCATGGACACTGGATCGTGTTATCTCCTGGTTAACTGCTCACTTTTTCAAACTGCAGGCCCTGTTAACGAGCTGCAAGAGCTGATGAGGAAGGTCGCTTATGAATACCACTCCAAGGAACCCAAACGCAGGCACCCAACAGACTTGACTGTGTGGTATGATACTCTCCCCACTTTGGGTGCGAGGATGGGAAGCCCGCACGGTGAAGGAAACAGAAACACATCACCCTGCCTGAGAATTGTATTACTTTTTCAGGTGGACGTAACTGGGGTGGAAATGCCAGAGGTGAGGCTGGTGAGGGACATGGGTCTTTGTGCAGGCCCTGGATCTTGTTTTGACTGGGCTGCGAACCATGCAGAAGTGAGCCTGCCAGCAAGGTATCCTCAAGGGCTATGGATCTCTGACAGGCAAATGAAGCCTGGGTTGCAGGCTGCAGCACAACTAAAATGAGGTCCTGAGCCTGGGCAGCTTCACAGAGGGAAGCTCTTCACCTTTCCAGCCTCCTGTTCAGATTAGGCCAAATAGGGTGCAAACTGGGGAGGCTTCAGGCCTGCTTGGAGGAATGCTGTTCTGCCTCAGAAGCAAAAGTGTCTGGGTATTCCAGTAGCTCCTCCTCCTTGAGAATCTGCTGGAAATGCTTGAAAGAGTCTTCAGGTGCATGTTTTTGGCATAGGGCTATATTGAGAGGGAGGCCAGCCATTGGGATAGATTCTTCTCCCCCCCCCCCCCCCCCCCCCACTCACAGTGACACGTTGTGGTGGTTGGCCTTTTCAGTCATGCCTTGAGGCAAAGCTGACTTCATCAACAGACAGTGTCCTTTGACGTGCCCAATGAGCAAGAGTGGGGGGCAGTCACCAGTTGACTTAAAGTGCTTTAAAACAAGTGGTGGACAGAGCCCAGAGTGTCATGCAAATAGCTCTGGGATGCTCACAGAGGATGCCTGCCAGGTGCAGAAAGTCGCACAAGCAAGAGACAAGATAACCAAGCTTTGGCTTCGCGGTACTATCCTGGAGTCTACTTGACGTAAATCTCTTCTTTAATGTAATTCCTTTCTCATGTCCAGCAACAATGGATAATTGACATCTGCCATGTTGAACTTAGGCAGCCACTCGCTGACATGGCTTTAAAACAAGATCAGTCAGATTCACAGAAAATGGGGTCTCTCTGTCAGCATGTTAGCTATGATAACTAACAGGCACAGCCTTCTGCAGAGGCAGGCTTTCCTTGGGTACGAGACACCGGGGGGGGGTGTAAATAGAGGAAGGCCATCATGATGCCCTCCTGGTGGACTTCCACTGCCGTTGGAAGCACAATGGTGGATCAGATGTGTCAAGATGGATTAGAGGCTTGAAAAGAGTAGCTAGGAGTTAAGCAAGTCACACCTGCAGGCTTTCTGCCTGGCTTCCATCTTTGCACCCACATGCGCTTTATGATTTGTGTTAGAGCTTCTCTCCCCTCCTCTCCTGATTCTCCCATCTCCCAATCCAGGAACTATGCCCAACGAACTAACAGAAAGATCCAGAAGTGCAGCCTCGAAAAATGGGTGAACCAGAACCAGCGCCATTTCCGTCGTTTTGCGGGAATCCCTGACAAGTTTGAACGCAGTGCTATCCCAAGCCGTTAGAAGCTGCCTTGCCACAGACAACTAAGCAGCGGCCTTATCTGCACTGCAAAATTTATCTGACCGCCGACAAGTCTTGTCTACTGATTTATTTTTAAATTATATTTTATAATTTTGTAAGTTAAGGCCAAGTTTGGATGCCATGTTTTTGGCTTTGTTTGTTTTTTGAAGTTCTGCTGTTTTCACCATTCTGTCTGATGTAGTAGTGCACTTAGATATTTTATAAATATTTGTACCTTTTAAATGTGTCAGACTGTGGTCTTTCCCCTTTCTCTCCTCTTGGCCTGTACACCCAGGTCAGTAGCATTTCTGCTACCGTTTTTTTTAGCCTGCACACCAGTGGCCACAGTATTAAGCAATGTCTTGCCTATGTGGAGCAGCCATACTAGGTGGCTAAAGACCTCGAGCACGGTGGTTTGCAATAGAGGCAATTCATATCTTCACATTCATGTCCTCAGGTTATAAGAAGCTGAGCAGTGGATTTATGTGGGTGCATAATTCTATAAGACAGCATCTCTTCTATTAATCACTAAAACATAATTCATCCTATATGACAGATTTAGAAGGAGCCTCAAAAGAAATAGAAGGGCTTTTCAAGAAACATGTGATTTGAGTGACAGAATTTATTGCACAGCTGTAGCTTGGTTGTTAGCCAGATTTATAAGGGAGGGTGGATCTATCAATGACTGTTTGCCAGGAGGGCTGTGAATGGTACCTCAATAGTCAGAAGCTGTATCACCTGCCAGACATATGCAAAGTCATTCTTGTTTTGTTCTCCGTCATTTTCTGCCCCCCCTTCCCGTTTCTGTGGGGTTTTCAGTTCACCAGCCACAGTTTTCAGACTGTCTTGGAAAATGAAAAAGGGAAGAACCACTGGTAGAATGCCTTTTGAAGACATGTTAGATCTTGAAGAGAATGTATTAGGTGCTTTATGCTGTCATGCCTTTGGCCAGAGTCATTGAAGTGTCCATGCTGTTGTAATTGGTTCAGAAGCTACAAGCTGTTCTAGCATCTCTTGAGTTGTTCAGCTAAAGAAAGTAACTCCAAAGCTCCTGGTTCAGTCCATGTATGCAAGTTGAATTGTCAGCTACTGATTCTGCTAAGGAGTGCCATCCTGAACACAAGGGGTTGGAGCCAGACTAAATTTTCCACTAGGGGAAGGGGAGGTGTAAATTTCACCCATTTCTCCTTCCTGTTGCTGACCTCCAATTTCCCTCTCATGCCATTCTTGGGGGGATACCTTCTCCCCCCAGGACCAGCATTTCGAGCAGTTCATTGGACTGCAGTGAGAGGAAGGGAGACAGGAAAGGTCTCTTCTGCTGACATAAGTGCCTTCAGTTAGCAGAAAATCTAGTCTGGATTCAACCCATAAAGCTGAACACATGAGTTCAGCCCTTGGTCTATCAAAATCCATATCGTCAACCCTGACTAGCAGCAGTCAGTTTCAAGTAGAAGCCTCACCTACTACCTGATCATTTTAACTGGACACGCCAGGTACTGAACCTGGGACCTCCTGCATACAAAGCAGATGCTTTATGACTGAGCTGTGGCCCCAAAGGGTAGAAAATACACATATGGTGGAAGAGGCGGTAATGGCTTAGCTAACCCCATAGCTTCCATCTGAGGTCTGTCATTCCCTGCTACACCTCATAGGATAGAGCCAACACAACAGGCCAAAGTTGTGGCCCCACAAGTCTGGATTCCTCTTTATCTAATGAAACTGTACAACAAGAGTTATCTTAAAATTATTTGGAAGAAAAAACAGGGAAATAGGCCCAAGGTAAGAGAGCTGCAAAGCGTCAGCTACAAGCACTGGGATCCTTCCTGGTAGTTTGGCAGAGAATGTCTAAGCACAATTCATGGCTGTAGATCACAGTCAAACACCTGTCTGTCTTGTATCTATAACCAGCTTCTCAAGCATCCAGAGTGGGTCACAGTTACAATCCATAACAATCTGTAAGTAATAGTAAGGATTCCCATTACAGCCACTTGCAGACTGTTAAGAGGGTTGGTGCCTTTGCCCCTGGGCCAAGGCAGAAGGAAGTCTCGTCCTCTTCCTGCAGCTGTCTGCTGCTTTGGCTGTATGGTTGCCAGCTCCAAGTTGGGAAATTCCTTGAGGTTTGGGGACGGGAGGGACCTCAGTAGGGTATAAAGGTTCGGCCATTTTCTCCAGGACAACTGGTCTCTCTAATCTGGAGAGCAGTTGTAATTCCAGGGGATCTCTAGGCCCCACCTGGAGGATGCCAACCGTGTTTGGGTGGTACAGCTATTTCTGCTGTGCTTTCCCACTTTGAAGGTGGGAAGGCATGGGGGAATGAAAGGCTCTGAATCTGTGCAGGAAGGATCTAGAAGAATCCAGGGGCTAGATAGGAAACATTCCTCTCCTGCCATGTGTGTACTCCCCGTCCCAACTCCCCCTGTCTGTGATTGTTTCAAATGTGTTGGGCCTGAGTTTCAAAAACAGGCTTGGGACCAGCCTTCATGGAGCAGGGATAAGAAACTGGAAGCTCTGTCCCACCCTTTGTTTTCTGGCTCTGTGAGAAAGAAAAGCCTGACCCCGTGGGGCTTGGATAAAGCCTTATCTGTGCAGCAGCCTATCCAGGCCATTGACCTAACTTATCCTACTGCCAATATATCTTGCCACGAGGTGCATCACTATTAGGAAGTGGCATTCACCAACTTCACTGCTGTATACCTGCTGTTTGAGGTCTTTGAGCTAGATGATGGAACACGGAGGCCTCGAAGATGCAGGATGAATACAGCTATTACAGCTCTCTCTATGTGTTCCCTCACTAAGTCTTTATCCACAAATGGCATAACACTTGACTCTAGTGGAAGGTTTCTTCAGCTCTAGTGTTGAGCAACCACAAAAGAAAAGTGGTTTTAAAAGAGGGGGGCAGCAGGTGTATGGAATCAGAGGCAAGATGTGGAGACAGGTTTTTGGATGTCCCTAATGGCAGCAGAGTTGGAAAATGGGGCCCTGTGGATTCATCCAGTCCATAAGAAGTTATTCTGTGCAAGCCCCATTTCAAGATGTGGGAGCTGCACAAGAGCAGTGCCATAGTCCCTCCATGTCAATGAGTTTTGTGCCAGAGAACTTCCAGGGGACAATCCTCCTGGTTAACTAGTGTGGGGGGTGGATGTCATACAGGGATATCAAAGTACAGGATGTAGCAGCAGAAAGATAAATGGTAATCGCAGGGTGTGAAGGGAGGGAGACTTGCCAAATTGTGGATTTTGTTATCTGCACTGCCCCCTTGTGTCACTACTTTGCACACAGTGCCTTGCTGGAGAGGAGATTGTGGACTCTGCAAGTGTGGGTTCTTTCCATTCAGTGCTATTTACTTCTTTAAATTGTCCATTAAAAACCACGTATTGTGTGTGGGGGGGTGCGTTTCTTGTGTAACTACGTGAGCTAAATTGTCTGCCAGCAATTAGCTGTATTAGTCCCCCAATCACTCCCCTGCTGCAAAGTGCTGGAAGACTGAAATGAGAGTATAAATTGACCTTCCTGAAGGCCTGTCAAATAGACTCAGAAGCTCAGTGCAAATCTATTTAGAACAGCCTTTCTTTATTAGTTTTTTTTTAATGTAGAATAGTTTTTAAACCACCTTACTGTCTTGCCAGGCAATGCTTTTCACTCTTGCAACAACAGGAGAGGGCCTGTAACATGTGGCACACATAAATTTGGCCTAAGGTTCTATTACCTTATCTGCTAAAGTGTACAGATATTTCAGTGAGTTCTGTCATGCTCTGGGGGAAAGCTGTGTGTGTGTGTGTAATCTCTTAACTATCAATTTGCATCCAGGCCTTAATTGAGACAGAATGTGTCAGGGTTTAGTCTTGGGAGTACATGTACAGTGTAATTGTACCTTTACAGGTCTCCCTTTGAGTGCCTTTTTGAATGCCACAACACATGTGAAGTAATAAGAGTTTCTGGGTGTGCCTGGAGTTCTTTTTGACCACCACTGAGAACCCTACACATCTAGAAATAAGGGGGCTGCTTTCCTTGGCAGTGTTGATGCTGTCAAGTCACAATGGACCAGGGTTTTCAAGGCAAGAGATGAACAGAGGTGGTTTGCCATCACCTGCCTCTGCGTAGCAATCCTGGACTTCCTGAATGGTCGTCGCCCATACAGGTCCTAACCAGGGGCAACCCTGCTTAGCTTTCAAGATCTGACAAGATCCGGGCAGATTGGGCTATTCAGGTCCTTTGGCAGTGAGCAAGGCATTAATAATGAGGGATGCTCCAACACCATCTAGTTCAGCTCAGTCTGTTTACTGGTCGAGCTGATTTTTGTTGTTGTTGAACAATTCCCGTTGTTTGCAAACAATTCAGACCTGTTTGCTGGGTCACTTTTCACACATTCAGACATTGCAAATGACAGTGTTTCACACATGCATGTTCCCAGCCCAGTTAGAGTCCTGTTTTTCCGTCCCCTCTCCCTGCACAGACCTGTTATCCCTGCTTGTTGCTTGGCAGACAATCATACAAACGATGAGCACATCCACAAATCTGTGCTATCATTTTTTGTGTGTGCATATTTCACAGGTGTTTGAGAGATGCAGCCCCCCCCCCCCCCATTATCAAACTTCCGGACCTGATGATTCATGATCCTGGGTAGAATCATCTTGCCTGCTGTACAGATGCAAAAGCCATCAAAACGCAAGGAGACAAAACTCCAGCACTGCAGCTACTGTGCAGCTGCAGAACTGTTCAGCGGGCAAGTGGCTCAGATGTTCATTTGCCAGGTGTTTGCAGCTGTCAAACATGGTAGGTTTGCCTGTAGAGGGTACTGTAGAGGGTATGTGTGGTATCTTTGTTCACTGCTGGCTGTCAATAACTGAGCAACACTAGACTTAAAAACAGTTGGGATGCTGACTCCAGACAGGAATTTCTGCTCGCAAAACTTACTTTTATGATGTGGTGTGAAATCCCTTCCGTATTACCAGCTGCTAACTGTTTATATCAAGGCTAATCAAATGTATTAATTTGGTGGAGCTTCTGGTTTATGGCGACATGCAGGCAGACACATCTCCCGGATGCCCCGGGGATGTAAACTGCACACCAGCGTGTGGGAGGGGGTCCGACAGGTCGAGACCCCCCCAGAGCCTTGGAAAA